ACCTCCACAGTGCGGCCGTCCGTGGGCGCGCCTGCCATACGATCAAGAATGACGCACGCATGGTACAAGATCCCATATTTGCAATGCCTGAGCAGATAGCTTTGAGCCAGCGCTCAAGTTTCTTAAAGCAGAGTTCGTGTCGGACGACCAGCCAGACTCCTTTCCATAGGAGGTTGATAATGCACTGGCTCCCCTGATACAGCCGCATGGCGCTACCGGCGCAGCCAAGTACGCGGAGGCAGGGTTCCTAAAGGATAGCCACAGGACTGCCACGCTGGGAAGTTCAGTTCCCTGGCGGAAGAGCAGCCGCCGATCTCATGTACAAGCGCAAGGCATAAGCGAGCGCGTGGTGCACATGGCGAGACATTGCGCTGAATATGCCCGATCATCGGGCGGGTGGGTGTATGTAGGTGACCTCGTCCAGAAGATGACCATTGATGGTACTTCACATGCCACTACTGCTCTTTCGATGCACGCTTTCACGATGGTGCCATCAGGAGAGATTGATGTTCTCGGCATTCGGGCTGATGATATGCGGATCATTGGCAGAACGCAGATGCATGCGCAATGGAGTTCTGTCCTGAACCCAGACGCCTCACACGACACAGTCGTCGATGAGGAAAACGGAGATCTAGTCATCAATGTTGATAGAGCGGAACGGGCCAACAAGCCCATGCCACTCTGCTTCCGCGCGTGTCAAGGACATTCTTCTTTTGCCAACAACATAGAGCGCATGTATGATCCTTGCGATGCTGGAATGGCACAGTGTCACGGACACCTGTTGCATGTTACGTCCTTGGATGCTATAAAGGAATCAGCGCTGGCAAACGGGATCGCTAAGTGCCCGAACAAATTCAGCGGATTGCGCAAAGCACTTGATTACGGTATTCTCAGATTAATACAAACGAAACGTGAGTTTCTTACGGAACATCCCCCCCGGCATGTCCCCCACTGGCTCAGCCAGCGGAAGGACGGCGAGGCCCCGCCCAATAGGGTGTATCAGGCCGAGGGCGCCGCTTCTACCGGCGGTGGACTACCCGCTCGAGGACAGTGGCCCCGTCCGATTACCCCATGTGTGTGGGATATTGATGCGACACACAATGAGCATTTGGCGTATATCATCGTTTTAAACGGACGGGTAGTGACCCGCCTTCGGCGCCGCATCTGTCGTGATGGGATTGTTGTTGCGACGGGCGAAGCACGTTTTAATGTTATTTCTCGGATTGTGCAACTGTCCGTGATCAGACAGGTTTGGAGGAATTATGTACCACAAATGATGTGGACCCTGGTCTTCTCCCAAGAGTGGTCTGCATGGGAGGTTGCCTTCTCGTCTGATACAATCAGAACGTGGATTTTCTCCGATGGAGAAATGATCGACACTGGGCGAGGTTTGCCCACCGGGGAACAAAAGGCCCTTATCGGGCGGAAGCTGTGGACTGATGATGGACGATTCATTTGTGTCAACTACCATGTTGTGCGGGCAGGTTTTGGACATTGCTTACATTGCCTCGCCAATGTCATGTATCTAACATATTTCAAGGCGAATTATCTGCAATCGACTACAGAAGATGAATTATCTGCTGCGTGGGCGACACTAGGCCTGGAGCCTCGTCGGGGGGATCCCCCAAGGGGAGGGAACCGGTCCATGGCTATTGCCGACAGACTGAAAGCAATGAGCAAGAGCTCCGCTGACGCTTGGGATAACTTGGGCAAAGTTGAACAGCGCCAGCGCCAAGTGGCTCTTGACGAGACAGCCCGTCTCAAGGTGGCATTTGCTGGAGGTACATATGAAACTTCTATGCCAGGGGCTGTTACTTTACGGTGTCCCCACAGCGCCTCGGCACAGCCGCCGGCGCGACATGAGCCTTTCTTCCAGTATCTTGAACCTCTGAAGCTTGTTGGATTTATTGATTGGTTGAAATATAAGCACGGGGATAATTGCCCCACTGCTGCACAATGGTGGCCATATATCTGGACGCAGGATCTGGATCAATATGCTCGCCCTATGACGTGTTCTGCGCTTGCTGCGTTCGATTGGGGCCGTGCGAGTGCAGACCAAATCCAACCAGAGGTGGGCTGGGCTCAGTGGGGACAAGATATGGGGGAGATGGGATTCGCTCTTCCAGCAGTGCAAGTGTTGATGGAGAACTTCGAAATGTCGATTGATGTATCCAGTGAACATATCGCACAGCGACATCACATGATCCCTCCACGCAGAGAGCTGCCATTCTGGCTTGCTATGGTCTCTATTCCTGGCTGCATGTGCGGTTGCAGCTCTGACAATACAACATGCGATAGGCCAGATGTTATCAAGACAGCAACACAACATATCATTGAGCACCTGTCGGTTGAACCACATGCTAGACCATTGGATACGGACGCGATTTATGCCGCACTGCCTGGCTTGCAGGATCTTGTATATGGGATTCTGGACCAACCGTTCCACCGTGCCCCTATTCACAGAGATTGGGAAAAGTTAGCCAGTTGTACGCGAGGTGATATTATTGTTCATGTATGCGGAGCTTCCTATTGCATTCCCCGTGCACGAGGTGCAGCGTACTTCGAGATCAGACCAACTCCTGCGGGATTCTTTTTCTTTTGATTATTTGATCCGAGCAGCATTCGATCAGTTTAATGATTGGCTCGATGGCTTTGGAAATGAGGTATCAAAGACCGCGCGACAAAACTGCTCCGACATTCGCGAGGCTATTGTTTTCATAGATGCCATGACAGAGCCCCAACAACATGCCAACATTTGTCTCGCCTAACAGCCTCTTTGGAGTCTTCAATGCTGGTAGCGCCGTTGGAATTATTAATCTTCTCGCAAAGAAAAAGAGGGGGGCGGCGCAGCCGACCCCCCCGCCGAGACAGCCCAGGTTGCGTTGCCAGCCGCTGCTGCAGCCCCAGTTGCTGAACGCATTGTTCCGCGGCGAGTCCGACCGCAATCGCGCCGGCCTTCGCGGCCGTGGTTCTCGCGCGGAGGGCAATCTCATCGCGCCGCCCCAGATTCGCCTGCGTCTGCCGGCGCAGCCGCGCCAGGCCACGAGACTGGATGGGCCGGCCCCGCCAGAGTTCGATCGTGGGGAGACGAGCCCAGGACTAAGGATTTCACACCCCAGAGACCGGCTGCTCTGCCGGGCGGCGGCTCCGCGCGCGATGGCGATGGCGCCGGGCCCGTCATGGGCGGCGTCTACGACGCGAGCTTGGATTACGAAGACAAGAGCGAGATTGGAGAGATTCAAGGCTATTGTGTACATGTTTCTAGACATCAGCCCAATACTGGCCGCGGCAAACCGCCGCAATGGTTTTGTCTTGATGAGTGCAATGATAAGTTCCGCCGCTCTTCTGGAACGTCGAGAAATTCGCGAGTGCCCGCGCCTCCGCCTGCGCCGAGGGCGAGTTCGTCGGAGAAGGGCCAGGGCAAGAGTGAACGAACTGAATGGAGCCCACCAAGTGGCTGGAGCTCAAGACGAGAATGGCACTGGGAGGACAATAGGGGGCCCAGAAGCCGTTGGAGAAGATGATAATGAAGATGGACTGCGTTCTGCACGACACAGTCGTTGCTGGACCGTACTACTTCGTGGAACGGGTGCACAAGGTGTGTATGGGCATTGAGACCTGAGCTGCGCATATTGGCTCAGGCGGGAAACGTCGGGCTTCTCCGGCCTTCGGCCCCCTGGCACCCACCGTCGAGCGGTGCAAATTTATCTTTTGGGGTCGCTCCGGTGGTTGTACATATGTACAGGCCAGGTGGGTGGGGGGTCTGGGCGGATCTACGTATCCCGCCGCGAGGGGGGTCAATGCACCCCTCCTCACCACCAGGTTCCTGCCCGTTTCACCTGTCCTGCTTGCTTCTCACTGGCTGCTTCTTTCTTTGCTTTGGACATTCCCTGCTCCTGCAGCTTAATGTGTCTCAGAGATAGCGGAAAAGGAGCGCGCCCGCGCGCGGCCGCGCGCGTCGGCCAGCGGGCCGGCTTCCTCCCTTCAGTGTTATCTCTGTTGCATGCTTGACGGCACGATCTTTTCTTGCCCATGTTTTCCGCGAAGCTCATTGACTATGAGGCATCACCCGGACATATATCAGGGATTGTGAACACCCAGGCAAAATACTCTGCCTGTATGTCCTCCATGCTAGACGCTTTACCACGTTTGAGTATGTTGATTACGCTGCTCACTTCTTGTGTTGTAAAGGTTGGGTCCAATATTGGCAGTGGGTCTCAAATTGGGACACCGTCGGTCAATTCTGCTACACGTACTTTTCATGCTATAATCTCCAAATACCCAGCCGTGCTCGGACAATTTCTTGTGTTTGCTTTGCTTCCAGGGGCCCTTGCTGGCCCCCGGGCCGTCAAACAACTATGCAATATTATGAACCGATCCACAGAAACCTTTGACGTTGTGAGAATTCACGATGTAGGAGGTCTGGGCCTTTCGATCGTGCTCAGCATAATCATGGTGCGCCGTTGTGGGTGGAATGCTGCGTGCTCTGAGTGTGTCGCTCTCCTTTGCCCTCCTCCGCGGCTGCCTTCCTCCCTTACCAGTCCGCAGTGAGCTCTGCCGCGCCCCGGCTGTTGTTCCTCGACGGTTCGTTTTTCACTTCGTACGGCTTTGAGGACACTTTCAGAGGCTCGAGTCATCAGGGCGTTCTTGTTACCTCGAGATGTCCAGCTATATTTGTCATTGGCATATCTGTTCATGCGTGTATTGAGTATACTTTTGGAGGCTCATGCTGCGTTGGGGGGTGGGTCACACTTGTCATATCATTTCACGTGTGTGTTGAGGATATTCGTGGAGGTGCATGCTGCGTTGGATGGCGTTTGTATGTATGTATATATATATATATGTATACATACATATATAAAACACAATCAACAACAACAACAAACGCCACCGCTGACAAAAAAAAAACGTAGTTGCTGTGAGCATCGTGCCCAGACCCCCGACGTCGTGATGTTGTCTCCCAGGGGCGGTTTCTGAACCATCGTTTTTAACAGTCCTGGCGAGGGCCTTCAGGGACCGAGCGTTTCAAGAACCCACGTCTTGATTTGTTCGCTACTTTGTAGGCCTGGGTGCGGCTCACCAAACAGAAGCGTGGCAGGCCACTGCCGGTTCGGCCCCGAGCTCGGCAACCACGGGCGCGGGTGGCGTTCCGGGCGCTGGTCCGCGCCTGGGGCCTGCGCCGCCGCCGCCGCGGCCGGGCGAACCCGACGACGGCACCGCCTCAGTGGCTGGCGCGGCTGGCGCGGCCGGCAGCGCGGACGCGGGACCAGAAAGGCGTCGGGAGCAAACGTGTCCTCAGATTTGGGCGACACAATTGCGACGGTCGGTTTGTTTATGGTTTCGGCACGTGGGGGCCGTCTCCTGGCCTCGGTGCCGTCAAAAAACAGTTCAGGATGAAAAGCCAGTCCCCGAGCAAAATGGCGAGATCCGTTGGGGTCTACGTCGCGAAAGAAATGGTTGTTGGAGGGAAAGGGTTCCCTGAGATCTACTGGTTGGAATTTCTTCAGGCTGAGCGTTTTTGTTTGGATCTGGGCTCAGGGCCCTCACAGATCGATCCGTCTGGAGAAATGCAGCCAGAAATATGCCGCCAGAAGGTGGCGTTCAGGGTTCAGGTCGTGATTTTCAGCGAGTTTTAATGTTTTTCCGTGACGTCGGATCTCAGTGTTCCTTGGTCGGCGGAGGATTTCGAGGAGGTGCGGTTGGGGCGAGCGTGACAAGGCGTCAACGCTCACGGAGGTCGGCCAGTTCCCTCCTCTGTCAAAATCTTTTTTCCAATGCGTGGCCCCATACGCCCCGATTGATTTTCTGCGTAGTCTATCGTTCCGGATCCGTTTCTGATGGTCCCGGGGCCCGATAATGGCCCCCGAGGGCAGACCTCGAGGAACAATTCATGGATTTAAATATTCATGTGGTCCTGGCCGACCCCGGTTTGGGGAGGCCCCGGAGGGGGAATTGGCGGAACAAAAGATACCGATACCGGTATTCCAATGACCTCTTTCGATGTGCGTTCTGGCGAATCCAGCCATGGCGACGAGGGACGGGTGGCGGTATCGGTTCTTCCTCCTCCTCCTCCTCCTCTTCCTCCTCCTCCTCCTCCTGTCAGGCACATCGACACCCCAATCGCCCTTCAGTGCATCGTCCATTGGGGGTTAGCCCTATGGTGGAGCAACGGACTCTCCCCCAGGGGCGCGAAGACAATCGCACTTCACGCGTTGCGGCCTGGGTCTCGTGGGTCGCGAGTGCGCAAGGATACCCGCGCATCGCGCAATTCGTGAAGCTGGCTGGCATTGAACATCCACGCTGCAATCGCTCATCAGTGCATCGCCGATCGGTGCTTGGTTGCCCTGCAAAACCCAGGAACTTGCGGTTTCGCTGTCGGGAGCCTGTCGGAGATGCGTAGCCGATGTCAGGCCGGTGTCCTCTTCGGTACCGCCTTTCATCAGGGGTTGCCTGATCGACCAGTAGCAGGTCGACCCATTCCGTGACGACCCCCTCGTCTCGCTCCAAGACGTGGGCAGTCAGCGGGAGGGCCTGAGGGCAGCCTCGAAGGTATGGGGGTCGTCACGGAAGGAGAGGTTCGGTTGCGCTCGATTTCGGCCCCCTCAGTCAATTGTCGCCCCCCCCGAGAAGGAGGAGGAGGAGGAGGAGGAGGAGGAGGAGGAGGTGTTGATTGTATTGTACTCCTTGATGTTCAGTCTCCGTGAGTATAGGAGAGGAAAAGTGCCACCGCCCGTGCGGTCTCCGTGCTCGCGGCTGCTCTTCTGGTTCAGGCCATTCTTTAGAAACCTATCTGGAGGCTCGCCTGTGGTGGTCGTGCGAATAGTATAGGAGTAGGTTCAGGGAGAGGGTGGGTCGGAATTTGTGCGAGCACCTGGAAGTGCTCACATTCAGTATTCGCAGGGGTCTTAAGCCAGGTCGAGTCTTCTGGCGAGGACCTTGGCCGACGGAACCGCCCGAGGACGAGGACCAGCAAGCCAGTGACGCAGGCTATCCGGCAGAGGAAATGACGCATCGACATAATATCGGAGCAGGCAGAAATTGATTGGAGCGAAGTTGGTGGTTGAGGTCCGTCGTGGTCTTCTGGTAAAACCTCTCGGTTTATTGGTGCTGATGTTGCTTGATGACGAGGTGGGCAACACGTGTGAACATCCGGAGCTTGCGAGCTGGTTCAAGAAGGTGGTGCTGAACTTAGATTTCGTGCACTGGATGATCGTTTTCCCGACAAAGGTGCCAGCGACCAAGTTGGAAATGCCTTTGGTAGTGTCTTTGGTTTCACCATCGAGTGAGGCGTTACGTCGTCGGCGTACACTGGACGTGCTCGTACTCTGTTCGCGAACCCCAGAAAGAAGGGAGTGGAACTGCCGACTGGTTCAAGGATTTTTTCTTCTGCGCGGGGCCCGATTCAGCATGGAGCGGCGAGCAGTCGTGCTCGCGGCCAGCCAGCGTCAGTGGGGTTTTGGAGCGATGGCGGCGGTGATTCGCACTGCCTGCCCGAAGCTGATGCCTACATCGCAGGTACACGAGGCTACGCTGCGGGATGGGTCATCAGAGCAAACCCAGTTCTGGACGCCACTAGCAGAGGCGGCCCCAGCCGCAGACGGGGATGTGGGTGCCGAGATTAACGAACTGCTGGAGGATGACGGTCCTAACGATGAGGAGAACGCGCTCGACGTGTTGGCTACGTGGACGGAGACAAGGATAGCGATGACGCCGGAGAAGCTCCAACGGGGGCGGGGCAACTTCCGAGTAGAGATGCTTCGAACTTCAGGCGCCTGAATGATCGCAACAGATGTGCTCTGTGTCGAGAGGTGGGCCAGTCCAACGCGCTTTTCGAACCGAGGCGAGGCAAGACCGACCGCGGCGCGTCTTCTTCGATTTTGCGACGCCCGCTCCCGCGGAAACCCATGTTTCAAGGGGTCGCCCAGTTGCTGATGGCTCAAGAGATGGCGATGGTCGAGGACGACGAGCGGGAGGGTCCCGACGTCTGGGACATTATCTATGTTCGTATGGCGTCCTGGTCACAGGATGGCCAGGCGACTTTGATCGCGAAGCTGACGAATGATGAGACGTTTCGGCGCCTGGCTCATGAGCGAAGCGAGATAGGGCAGGACGCCGACAACGACGCGCGCGTGTCATGCCCCGGATGCGGCGCTCTTGACTCGGGCTGCGGCATGGCCCTGGTTGGAACATGTATATTTGGTGGGAAGAGCACGAGCGCGAGGCGGGCCTGAAGCCGGAGTGGTAGGGGGATGTGCTTGCCATCCGCATCCAGAGCTACGAAGGCAATATCGGGCGAGCGCAGAGGGCATGCAGGGTCCAGTCGCTGTTCCCCGAAATCGGCAGGTGCGTGGGGGTCCCGTGCTACGTCGTCGGTGGAGACGCTGAACTGCTGATCAGTTAGCAGGGAATGAAGATGCTCCTGGCGATGGCTAACATGAGCAGCAACCTTCCCGTGGCTCGACAAGCGTGGCGCGTCCGCGTCCATTCGGGAGGTCACGGGGGAGCTGCCGCTGCGAGGTGGGTCTACTCGGGCTACAGCTCGAGGCCGCCGCCGAACCCGACGCGATCGCGGATGAGATGCAGACGAAAACCGACGAGCTGGACAAGTCTTTCCAGTTGTGCCCGGCTGGCGCCTCGAGGTCAGCGAGGACGTCCGCGTCTTCGACGTCGGGTGCGCGGTGCCAGTTGTGATGGAGATATTCTTGCCTCCTCGCGCCTGCCGCGCGCCTCCAGCTGCGGCTTGAAGTATTCGGAGATTCGCGATGAAAGCTTGCGGCGGGCTTGCCCAGGTGCCCGGGGGAGTGCGACAATTCCGGGAATCGATCGACAGGACCAAGCCGTTCTGCGTCATTATGACCCCCCTTCGCGCGAAGATTCCACGGTTCTCCAGGGCCTCGCGCCGGGCTCGAAATGGCGGGGTCTGGGGGCCCGCCTCCGGGGACTCTTGGAAGCGAGCGCTCTGCGCAGGGGTGTGTCTGACTGGCTGGGCGCCAGATGGGCCAGGGGTGGCGCTTTATTTTCGAAGCGCCCCCGGCAGCGACGACTTACAGCCTGCCAGCTATAAACGCACTCCTGCGAAATCCGAGGGCGTCTACGGGCGCGGCGAGCGGTTGCGGAGCGGGTCGCCGGCATCCAACCTTCGGAGCTGCCCCGAGCAAGCGCCGGGGGTCTGTGGCGTCGTCGTCGGCGGTGGCCAATCAGATGGCGCAGCCGCGCCAGGGCGCTCGCGCCCATGTCTGGGCAGAGGGCGGGAGCCCGCCGCCTGGCCAAGGCATGTCTTTCCCCCAGTGGGCCCACGCGCGTGCGAGTCAGCTTATCAGGAGGACCCCGCAAGGGCTCTCAAGGGTTTACGCGCTTCAGGAAGGGGGGGGGGGGGGGGGGGCAGCGGTGCGCGCCGTGGGCGGGGGCGAGGAAGACGGCGGAGTTGCGTGTCCCCAGCGTCCCCGGTTTCCCGGGCGGCCTTCTGGGGGTTGCGCGTGAAACTAAGGCGTGCTGCGACGACAGCGATGCCCCGGTATCTTTGACGCGCTAATGCGAGCCCCGAGGCGGTCCGACAGGCCGAGTATTTGCATCGGGGCGATTGCGAATCCAGGAAACGACCAGGGATTGCCAGGTACGCTGCGCATCCGACTCTCCAACCGCTTTTTAATTATCTTGCGACGGGCGTCGAGGAGCCGCCCTGTTTTCTCCTAGGCGAACGACGGCAGTGTGAGAATATCGCGCGCGTTGCGCGTGATGGCGCCGCTCCGACTGGGCGAGGCCGAGTCGTCGCTCGCGCTGCCGCGCGCGTGCCTGGGCCGCTGGACATGGCCGCGCATGCGGCCCGGGTGGCTGAGAGTGGACGCGACGAGCGCCTGTCTGCCCGGGGAGTTTTCAGGGCGGCGCGGGTCGGGGTTGGGCGGCGACAGTGGACGCGGCGGGGGTGGCGAAGGAACAGAGTGGACACGGTGGAGGTGCACCGGAAGTGGCTCGAGCAGCGATTGCAGAATGTGGTCGACGAGCTCCAGCCCCAAGACGATAATGGGTGGCTAGAGTGCTTTGCCCAGTCCCAGGAAGCAAGTCGCTGGGCGCGAATGTCAGCGGGAGTCAGATGGGCTTCGGCTGGAAGACAGATATTCGGGGGAACTTTCTTTTGGGGAATCCGAGACTGATTGCCCGCTGGTGCGTGCCGCGCGACTCATTGGCCGCGGGCGCGGCCAGCGTTCGCGCGATGGCGCCCCGGGTGATCCTTGCTCGCGGCGAGAAGAAGGCTTCTCGAGTTGCTCCGGGCCCCC